AAATCCTTCTGGATCCTAGGTACCATATCATGTTGCCAACCCAGCAGCAAGCAGGAGGACACACACACTTTGATTTCTGCATCCAACAGTAGGAATTGCTGTGGGTCAAGTCATCCACATTCTCTTCTCCATTTCTCCCCTTGTGACCAATGGTACCTTTCACAAAGCTCTACTCCTATGTCTCATCAGGATGTGGATTTCTCACAGGCTATATCAAAACAGCAGAGCCCCTAGGGGCAGCTAGGTGGCACAGTGGATAGAGCACCAGCCCTGGGTTCAGGAGGACCTCAGTTCAAATCCGGCCTCATACACAAAACACTTACTAGCTGTGTGATTCTGGCCAAGTCACTTAACCTCATTGCCTAACCCCCCCCAAAAAAAATTAAAACATAGCATAGCTCCTGGCAGATTCTATCATGCTGGAAAGTCTTCAGTTATGGCCCTGACAACAGACTAAATATATTTCCCCAGGATGAATCTAGCCAAGCATAGGAGAGTCTCATCACCAGTAGGCTGACACCTAATAATGATGCATCCTTTGGCTACGGCAACACATGAAATGAAGAAAAATGCACACCAATCCTTGGTCTTGTATGGTCCTGTCTGCTTTTGTAGGGATGGTCATAGAGTAGCGGAAAGAGGGAAGTGAGTGCTAAGAAACACACAATTTTTAGCCTGTTTGTAAAACTTAATTTGGCTTTGGTACTATAATGTCACAGGAACAAAAGGCCTGTGATTCAGCACCTATTACCAGGATGTGACTTTTGGTTAATATATGATACAATTTGTGAATTGTGCCCCTTTGATCTTTGCAATGGTTTGTATGCAACTTTGGTCCTGTCCAGTGACTAGGTATGTGTCAAGCTAGAAGGGCTGAATCACATTTGTCTTGATATTCTCACTATAAACAAAATCATAAGAAGGAATTTGTTAGCTAAAAGGAAAAGTACTCCTTGCAGTGGCAAAGAAAAGACAATGGCTTTGTTTTTATCTTATGCCCAAAGGCAACAAAAAACTTTTTTTTTTCATGGGGTATTTAGCCATCTCATATCATAGTGCTTGAAATCTACCCTAAAAATAATTACAGCTCATATGTTGACAAAGATGAAGAGGTGGAGCAATTCTATAAAGAACCCAACGAGACCCTCCAGATTAAATCAATCTATTCTTTGATACTTGGTGACTTTGATGCAAAAGTTGAATATGATGAAGAATATATCCAAAAATATGGGCTAGGATTAAAAAATGAGCAAAGCTCAAGACTTGTTGAATTGCTAATTAACTTATGGAATTATGAAATGGGGGCATGCATTCCAGTTCTTTGAGTACTCGCCAGGAAAGCCCATGGCAACACAGGGGGATAATATTTCAATCACACTTTAATAAGGCACAGAGAGTACAGGGGTGAGCAGCACAGAAAGTACAGAGACAAGCAGTGAAAGGGGGAGGCACAGTGGCAGACCGTGTGGGAATGGGGATGGGGTGGTAGAGGAAGGTAGGGAGCATAGAGAAGATAATGGGAAACGGGGAAAGTCCCAAGAGTAACTCACATCACCATGGATTAGAATCGGAGAGTTGGGAGCACTCAGCAACATAGTCCCAGATGATGATGGAAGACTGCTCAGGGGCAGGAGTTTGGGGTCTCATTTTAATAGGGTTTGGTGAGGGACAGAATAACTCTTCTCTGTGCCACGATGAGGCTAGCTCATTACCATAATTGCATCATCTCAAAGTTATCGGCACCATTTGGTGTTCTGCTGGTCTTACTATAGATGTCTAAAGTTTATCTGAGGTTTACGTATCATAGGACCAAAAAGTCCTGTGACAGCAGGGCCTAGATGGCTTCCTCTGATTTAGCACATAGCCTCAGGATGTGATTTTTAGTTAATAGATGATGCAATTTACAAACTAGGCTTCTTTGATCTTTAGGACAGTCTGCACGTGACTTCTAGGATCCCCTCTGCAATTTTGCTTCCTTCTATTGTTGCTTTACATTGGCTACCTGTCCACTTACTATACTAATTAGAAGAGGGGATAGTGTGTGGTGAGGGATCAGAACGAAACAAAATTTTAACACACTTGTAGACAACATAGATGTCTCATGCATTTAGATCATGAACACATTCATCAGGAAGAGAATTGATAGGCTCTGAACATGGTGAACACCAAATAGCATCCCCTCAAAATGAAATTGATTAAATTTTAACAGACAGAAAAGGACTTGTTATTGATGTGAGTCATTCCTGAATCATCTGGGTATAGTCAGACTACTGAGTTCTCAGAGCAAAGATAAGAATTAGTAATAAGCTAGAAGAACAATGAGAAAAAGACAAAAAAAAAATACCACTACAAAAACTTAACTTCAAACTATTCCAACTAGTAATTGACAATGAAAAATGAGGAAAAGGCAGCAGAAATGTTATCAGTACCAATTATGTTACTTTTATACAGAAGTTTAACCAATGTAAATTAATTGCCATAATAAGAAAACCAAAAGAGACTTAGAAGGACTTTAGTCAGCAAACATGACTTATTTGCCAAGTGGAGAGAAATGGCAGCCAAAAGCAACACCAGCATATAACATATAATGGTCTGTAAAATCCTACAAATAAGACTGATGAATGATTATGAGCTGTATCACCTCATAAAGCAAAGGAAAGCATTGGAGAGTAAAACCAGCTTAAGGAAAGTCTGGAAAAAGCATAATGTAAGTAAAGTCACTCCAAGGACATCTAAGTGCAAAAAAGGAGGTACAACGAATAGAATAAAAATGGAAAAGATCTGCAAAGATTTTTTTAACAGCAAACCATTTTCATTGTCAAGGACAGTGGAGCCACCACCCTTGGGATCAACATCACAGTTGCAGATTCAAGTGTAAGGTAGATAGAAATGTCACTAAATAGAACAAAGACAGTTTGGACCAAGTTTACGAAGAACTATGCTAATATGGTGACACATTTGTAAGGGCATTGAGAATCAATTCACAGGATATCTGGAGGGAAATAATAACAATAATAATAACTAACATTTATATACTACTCACTGTGTGCCAGGTACTGTACTAAGCACTTTACAATTATTGCCTCGTTTGATTCTCACAGCAACCCTGCGAGTTAGGTGCTATTTTTATCCCCATTTTACAGAAAAGGAAACTAAAGTAAATAGAGGTTAAGTGATTTGCCCAGCATCACACGGCTAGTATGTGTGTGAGGCTGGATTTGACCTCAGGTCTTCCTGACTCTAAGGGCACCAACTCTATCTACTGTGCCACCTCGCTGCTTCTTTGGGGAAAGATACCAAAGGCAAGGGAAAAAAGCTCAAACTTTACTAATACTAAAAAAAGTGACTGAAAGAAAATCAGTAACTGTCAGTCCACACACCTGCTTTCCCAACTATACAACATCTTCATCATGGCTGTGAGCAGGCTGCAACATAGAACCAACGAGTAACTTCATGGAAATGTATGATAAGAAGAGAAGGGTTGGTCACACGGCAAAAGCAAAGGGTGACAGGTGAACAGCTTGAGTGCTCTATTAATATCTTCATCATCTACACATGCAATAAGGGGCTCTTCAATGATAGTATTTGCAAGAAACAAAATTTTGTTTTTGCAAACAATATTCTACAAAGGACCACGTTTTCATTCATTTTACAAATAAATTAAAGATATAAAGATGTAAAGAATGCACGATCCCACTGTACTTGCTATTTGTTGACTATGGGAAAGTATCTGATTCTACAGAGCAAACCAGTGACTTGAAGAATCTTTCCCAACAAAGTTTCTCCAACTCATATAGCAAAATCATTCAAGATTCGTTGGAAGATATAACAGGGGTGACATACAATACAGAGATTGTTCACTAAAGGTGTTTACCACAGTGATGGAAGAAACCTAGTGTACAGTCTAAGATGAAAAGGAATTCCCAATGGATGGTGAAGTTTTCCAGAAGAATTTACAGTTGACGTTACACTGATTGCATCAAGAATGCTGCAGAGACCTCAAAAAGTTTGGTCTGATTATTCATACAGGAAAAACTAAGTGGATGGAAATTTTATGCTGCCCAAATCATGGCATACACTTGGATAGACAACCCATAGAGCTTTTCTGTCGGCTATATATCTGAGAGACAGTACAAATCAACAATTAGTTAGGCCCCAAATTAAAAAGGAGAAAGAGACAGGGCTGGATTAATTTTGGAAAATTGCGACGGTCCATTAAGTATTTCAGACTTGAGATAACTGTAAACAAATGTCTCATTTTTTAATATAAACATTCTGTTGATGTTGCTGTATGATGCCAATAGTCTGAAAAATTGTAAGTGAATATCACACAGAGGGCAATTGAGAGGCCTATGGTGGCTGTGAGCAGGCTGCAACATAGAACCAATGAGTAACTTCATGGAAATGTATGATAAGAGGAGAAGGGTTGGTCACATGGCAAGAGCAAAGGGTGACAGGTGAACAGCTTGAGTGCTCTATTGATGTCTTCATGATGCCGTGAAAAAAAACTTGGAAGGCTTCCAGGGTGTTGTGGAGGACACACATAAAAAATACACAGAATGGGCAAGGAGGGACAGGTTGTGTTCTGCATAATTGGCTAAAACTTCCAAATCAATGAGATCACAAGTCCATTTCAGTATCTGAGATAAATGACCCACATTTGTAGGGAAAGCTGGCCCGGTTTAAGGTAAAAAACTCTCCAGGCCATATAAAGGATATAGAGAAAGCATTTTATGGTTTTGTTTAAAAACGTTGTTAAATTCCATTTGAATATACTTTTTTAAGGTTCTGTTCTAGCATATCTGAGTTTTAGTTTTGGGTTGGGTTTTGTTTTGTTTCTGCTTTTAACTTCTATTTAGTTTAAGAAACCAGTCTGTATCTAAACCTGGCTAATCCTGTGTGTAATGGCTGACAAACTGCTTTCTGTACGTTGATATGAGAAAAAAAAAACACAGATACTAGGAGACAGAACTGACAAAAGTACAGGTAAAAGTACTGACCGAGAAATAGTTGATGGGACCTTCTTCTGGTTATGGGAAAGACAGTCCTGTGGGTTCCTGCTGTAGGTAAAAGGATACACTCACTGTGATTTCTCATGGAAGCAAGTAGATCAAAAAGACATTTTTTTTCTCCTTTCCTTCTTTGAGCTAAGAAACTAAGAGAGGCTGAGTAGATCATTCAGTAGTGTGTCCAGTGCTGAGTACTGTGGACTGACAGTGAGAGAAGATCTCGCATGCAAAGCCGGTAGTGAAAGCAAAGGCAGCAGAGCCTTTTAACACCCAAAGACATTGCTGAAAGTCCAAGGTAATGGGATACAGATGAGTCCAACTTCCAGTTAATAGATTTATGTTCTACCCAAGCCTGGGGTGATACATACTATGGTTAGAATAATAGAACCACAGGCAGACTGTCAAAGCTAGAAGGCATTGTAGAGGTCCCATTTATTTTCTAGAGGTGAAAACTGAACCCTCAAAAGAGTAAATGACTTACTTTCAGTCATATAAGCAATAAGTGGCAAGACTGAGACCTGATTTGACTCTAGATTTCCGCTGTACCTTGTTGGTGAGACTGAAGGAATTTGTTCTTGTTCAGTCATTTCAGTCATGTCTGACTCTTCATGACCACATTTGGGGTTTTCTTGGCAAAGGTACTACAGTGGTTCGCCACTTCCTCCTCCAGATCATTTTATCAATGAGGAAACTGAGACAAATGGGAATAAGTGACTTACCCAGGGTCAAACAGCTAGTGAGCATCTGAGGCTGGATTTGAACTCAGGCCTTCCTGACTCCAGATCCAGCTCTCTCTCCAGAGCAGCACTGAATTAAGGCAGTGTGCTAAAATGGGAAGAATACTGAGTCAAGAGTAAGAGACCTGAGTTCTAGTCTTTGCATGAAATTCAGCTCAAGGGCCACCTTTTACATGAAATCTTTCTTGATCCCCAGCAATAGTTAGTGTCTGCCCTCTCTAAAGTACCTTGTATCTATTCTCTGTGTCTGTGTGTGTGTATGTATATACATGTATGTACATGTTATTCCCTATTCTTTCCCCTCCCCCATTTGGGATGCAAACTCCTTTAGGGCAGAAACCATTTCATCTTTGTCTTTGTATCCCCAGTCCCTGGCATACAGTAGGCACTTAATAAATGCTTGCTACTTGGTCGATTGCTAGCTCTGCCACTAACTGCAGTGACCTATAGCAGGTGACTTTTCTCTGTCTGGGTTTCAGTTTCCTGCTCTGTAAAATCTGAGGTTTGCAATAGATGATATCTATAGTTCTTTCCAGTTCTGACATTCAGGGATTCTATGCTAGTTGACTGATTGATACTAGTTGAAAGTTACCTAATGATAGGTGTTATTTCTTCAAACTTTTTTTTGAATTGCGAGGTGACCCAATGGATAGAGTACCAGGCCAGAGTCAGAAAGACTTGAGTTCAAATCTTGACTCAGACGCTAGCTGTGTGACCCTGAGCAAGTCACTTAACTCCTATTTGCCTTGGTTGCCTCATTTGTAAAATGGGAATAAGAATAGTAGTTACCTCCCAGGCTTGTTGCGAGGATCAAATGAGATAATAATTGTAAAGCACTTAGCATGGTACCTGGCACAGAGTTAAGTGCCACATAACTGTTAGCTATTATTATTATTATTAACTATGCAGTCTATTTAATGCTATGTTTATGCATCATCATTTCAATAAAATTTGTTTTGGTTACAAAAAAGTATAACAGAAGGAAGAAATGTTCTCTTAATCTCATACACACAAATACACACAAACACAAACACACACAAAACTATGATTCACCCAGATATTCATATCACAAGGTCAAAACCAAGATCTACCTGATAGCAGGTTACTCTAACCTAGAGATCAGTAAAGAGCCTTTGTAGGTATAGACTCCCCAAGACACTGAATATTACATATGTGTCTCTGGCCTCATTATCACAATGCTCTAAGCAGTCTGGAAACTCATCAAACAGTGGTCGACCCAGACACTTACATGACAAAGGTATGGAAAAGAGGCAAGAACAGCTAAGTTCTCTGGTGCTGGGTACCCTCCTCTCTAACCAAACCCATCTCCAGAAATCTTCTGAAACAGAGCCATTGAATAAAACGTGCTGAAAGTTAGAGCAGGGGGCAGAGCAGAGAGGGAATGTTACTGGGAGCTACAGTGACAGGTTTGGTACCAATATGTGGAACTATAGATGGGCAGAGACACCCTGATGATTCTCTGCACCTGTAAACTGAAAACGTCCTGCTCAAGCATTGCTTCTTAAGGCTACAAGGCAAGCATATCATGCTGGGGGTAAGGTGAACCCGGTTTGAACCTAGCTCAGTGCTGCCTTACTCTGATTGGTCCCACTCTCTGAGCCTCAGTTTTCTTCTCTGTGAAACAAGGAGGCTGAACTTAATTATCTCTTAGGTTTCCCATTAGTTCTAAAAGTTACAGGATCACAGTGAACTCTTTCTCTTATTATTTATTCACATGCGCTTGAAGAATCAGAAAGATTCTGTTCCGTTTTATGATCGGTAGAGTGGTTAGAATGCTGGACGTGGAGTCAGGAAGACCTGGGCTCAAATTTGCCTCAAGCACTTGCTAGCTGTGTGATTCTGGGCAAATCACTCGACCTCTCTGAGCCTCAGTTTTCTCCTCTGTAAAATGAGAAGATTGGGTCAGTGACCCTGAAGGTAGCTTCCAGCTCTAAATCTATGACCTATGATCCTATTCTATCCCTGCAAGGGGGATAGAACATGGAAATTTAGGTGAATTTAAACCCTCCATCAATACATGTCTTTCTTAGGAAAGAGCATAGTCGTCAGAGACTGCCAGAGGACCTGAGCAAGAATCTTAAGGGATCAGTGATCCCATTGCCTGCTTTAAAAAGGCAGGCAGCTTGAGGGCACAGTAGATAGAGTCTGACTAGGAAGTCAAGAAGACCTGAGTTCAAATCTAGCCTCAGATATTAGCTTTAAAATCCTGGGCATATCACCCATCCTCTACTGCCTTAACTTCCTCATTTACACAAAAAGGGGTGGTCATAAAAGCACCTTCCTCCCGTGGTTTTTTTGTGGGGATCAAATGAGATACTATCTGTAAAGTGTTTCACAAACCTTAAAGTGATATGTAAATGCTTGTTACAAGAAGCCCTCGACTAAGAATTAGCACCTATTCTCCAGCTAGACTTCATGAGGAAATGTTAGATGACATTGGTTTCCTAGACTCAGCAGGGAAAAAAATGGGCATCAGAGACAGCGGTTAGTTATAGATTAATAACCTAAAGTACAAAATGTTCTGGACAGATTTGGGAGAAAGCATAAAGCCACAATATCTGGTGAAACCAAAGGTCAACAGGACTGGCCTTACCCAGAATCCTGGGGTCGTACTGTTTTTGGATGGAATTACATGATTATAACAGATTGAACTTTGTAACACAGATAGCACAGAATCTCCGGGTTGGTAGAAAATTCTGAGGCCATCTAGTCTAACCTGGGCCTGAATGTCAAATACTGTCTATAACATCCCAGACAGGAGCAGTGTTCCACTTGAAGACTTCTGCTGATAGATGACTTCCCTTTGAAGCCCCCCCATTGCAGGGAGAATTCACCCCCTGAAAAAGCCCATTTTATTTTGGACACTATTAGGCTTTTCTTCATACGAAGCCAAAATCTGCTTTTCTGTAACTCACCTATTGCTTTTAATTCTGTCCTCTGCAACTGAACAAATCAAACCCTCCCTACCCATGAGAATTCTTCTGATACTCTATTCTACCACCGTTTTCTAATCCTTTCTCCCCTCCCCTGCCCTCTTCCCCTCACACACGTCTCTTCTCCAATCCTTCCTTCAGGTGCTCCACATACGGCATGTGCCTTCACCAGCCTGGTCACCCTCCTCTGGATGTGCTCTAGACCATCAATTTCTTTCCTAAAAGTGAACTAGAAGGAAACGCACTTCTCTCCTCTTGTCACAGAGATGGGCAGGGGAGACTATGAGAGAGAATGGTACGTGCATCAGTTTTTTTGTTTAACTGTTTTGTTCTGTCCACAAATTATTGTTATATAAAAACAAAATATATAATAAAACTTATGGGAAGAAAAGGGAATCAGCTGAGTTCCAAGGAGGCTGTAAAAAAACATCACAGGCCTCCTCGCCCCCAGACTGGAACCCTCCCTTATAACAAAAAACAAAACAAAACCGTAAGAGAAAACCAAAAGAAAACAACAACCCAGTGTGTGGAGGATATAGCAGGTTTAGCGTCTAACTCTGATGTGGGGAGAGACGTAGCTGATCCAGCTAATGACTCACTGACCACCTGGTGTACAAAGTCCTGGGCTAGATGCTGAAAGGATCCAAAGAGAAGTCAAATAGAAGAGCCCAGTAAGGGAGGTGAGCTATGCGCCTGAATACCTGTGACACAAGCAGATTGTAGTAAAATGCCAAAGGGTCTGAGAGGTACATACCGCTGCTCAGGTGTAGGGAGAGTGGCTGGTTGGGAGAGAGAGACAGATCAAGGAGGGCTTCGCGGAGGAGGTGGCATTTGAGCTGGGTGTTCAAGGACAAGTACAGCTTTGACAGACAGAACTATAGGAGATGGTAGGGTGGGGCATCTCAGGAACATGAGGAGCCAAGATTCAAAGGCAGAATATGATAAATCAATGGGCTTCTCTAGGATTTCATTTCCTCATCTGTAACACGGTGATCATAATCTCTGAGTCACAGAGGTCTTGAGACTTGGAATAAATAAGAAAGAGCTTTGAAAAGCATGAAGACCTACGGACAGCTAGGTGGTACAGTGGATAGAGGACTGGCCCTGGAGTCAGGAGGAGCTGAGTTCAAATCCAGCCTCAGACACTTACTAGCTGTGTGATCCTGGGCAAGTCACTTAACCTTGATTGCCTACCAAAAAATAAAAATAACAAAAAGCATGAAGACCTGAGCAAACCAGACTAAAGTGGGTAGTCCCAGCCCTTAGGGTCCCCACAGGGTTCACCTACCATAGCCGTATCTGGGCAGGCAGGGTGGCACCTATTTCAGCCCAGGCAGATAGTTGGTATCTCTACTTTTAAGGATTTCAGGAGGACATAAGTAACATGCAAGATACAGTGGGAAAAGTGCTGAATGTCGTGACAGAAAACCCCCTGTTTGAATCCGACCTCAGTCATTTACAAGCTGTGCGACCCTGGACAAGCCATCTAACCTAGTCTGGGCCTCAGTTTTCTCATCTGTAAAATGAAGGGATTGGATTCAGTGACTTCTAAGGTCTTGTCCCCTCTAAAT